ACAGCCAATGGTTGTCGATTAAACAGGTTTAATCGACAGCCAATGGCTGTCGAATATAAGCTGCTACAATTATAAATGTGGCTACGAAATTCTGTCGATAATAATTATATTCGACAGTAAGTATCTGTCGATTACACCTGTATATTCGACAGAAAACATTTCTGTCGAATATACAGGTCATTTTATACGACATCTTTTTTTGTCGAATATGTCTGTCAATTAAAGTATAATCGACAGAAATATCTTTATATTAGACAGAATTTTCTGTCGAATATACTCTGTTTTCCAGTAGTGCAAGTTTTCACTTAATTTAGTTATAATTGAATTAGGCTCAAAGCAAGAGAAAATATAAAAAGGTGGACTACAGAGGCTAATTGGTTAATGATTTTATCTACATTTTTTTCATTTTATAGACTTCAACAAAACAAATTTTGATTTGAGGTTAAGGTCAAGATTTCAAACTTGTACCATAACAAGTAGCTAATCCTTCAATGTATCAAAAAAATATGTATATACTTCAATAAAAACTTACATGAATCAAGATTTAAGATCCAAATAATATACTTGTAGGTTTAACAAATGAATGAAATTGAAGAAATTAGGGATGATGACCAAATTAAACCAAGTAAATTACAAGCACCGGTAGATCTACTTAATTGTAAGCCTATTTCTCTGTAAGCAGAGGTTGATGAATATTTCTTGAAATTAAAACATGATTAAGATATGATCAACAAAAAAATAACTTATAAGATTTGTTAAGTAGTTACATTTAGGTTAAAACAAATCTAGAGGTAAAAGAATCTAACAATTTGCTAAAAACAATTTGAAAATGAGGAATCTAACAAAAAAAAAAATTGAAAATAAGGTTATTCATAAAAAAAAATTAAATATTTTTCATTTAATACTTACTTTAAAAATAACATAAACGCGCATAATCATGGTTGAAGATCTTAATAAATAGTATACCTACAAGTTCAATGGAAGAAATCGAAGAAAGTGGGCACCGGTAATCCAGATAGTTAGGCCAAGCAAATTGGAGGCAACCGCACGCACTCAATTGCAAGCCAAATTGTGTCCGATAATAAGAAAAGGTGAGACGGTCAAGAAGAAGAGCAAACTTTAAAGAAGTGATATAGCTGGATATTTCCTGGAAGACGCTTGGCGATATGGCAGTGAAATGAATATATGCAAAGTGATCCGAAAAGGTGCAACTAGTATCAGGGTATTACAGTATTTGAATTAAGTAGGCAAGTTGAAACCAATGACAAGAGAGGTTGGTGTAATCTTTTCAAAAAGATGCTTTACAAAAGTGCGAAAATTAATTTATTATTATAAAGTAATCAATAATTGCACAACCACAGCATATTATAACATTAAAAGAAAGACTTGGTGGGAGACTTAATAAAGATTTAATAGAAGACTATGAACATCAAAAAAGGACCCGTGAATATTACCCTTAGAACAGTGGGAACGAGGGGATAACTCGGAGCCTTCAATGCCTCGCTTCTTTTGCTTTTCTGTGTTTTCTTTTAGAGAAGGTGAGACGGTCAAGGAGATAGCAAACTTTAAAGAAGTGATTTGGCTGGATATTTCTTGGAAGATGCTTGGCAATATGGCAGTGAGATGAATAAAAGCAAAGTGATCCAAAAAGGTACAATTAGTGTTAAGGATATTACAGTATTCGAATTAAGTAGGCAAGGTTAAACCAATTACAAGAGAAGTTGGTACAATCTTTTCACTACGATGCTCAACAGGAATGCAAAAATTAATTTATTATTATAATGTGATCAATAATCGTACAACATTGTAAAATTAAAAGAAAGACTCAGTGAAAGACTTAATAATGACTTAATAATGACTTAATGGAAGACAATACATCAAAAAATGTGCCGTCAATATTTCCTTTAGAACAGTGGGAACGAGGGGATAGCTTGGAGCCTTCACCGCCCCGCTTCTCCAACCTTTCCCTGTCCTCTCTTAAAAAGGTTTATCTTTCTCAACTTTGGATCCCCTTTTAATCTCTCTCCCTTCATTTTTTTGCATATTTTTTGCTTAGGATTTAAATTTAAAAAAAATATAAAAAATAATTCAATTGAATTGATATTTATTAATTAAAAATTTTTAATTTAAAATTAAGTTAAAAAATTTAAAATTTTGTTTTATAAAATAATTAACCATTTTCTGTTTTAAAAAATATATATTTCAGAAAAAAAAAAGCCCTTGGAATCTTGGACACAACAGAAGAAACGAGGAATATCCATTAAAAATAAAGTGTTAAAAATCACCTCCAAAAGATAAAAAAGTTTAATTTCAAGTAAAATTTTCAAATTTTTTAAAAATCAGTAAATAATATTTAAGATCTTTACTTATATTAAATAATATTTTCGATAGGTTAGAGTTTGGATATTCCCTAGAAGATGCTAGGCGATATGGCACGTGAAATGAATATATGCGAAGTGATCCAAAAAGGTACAATTAGTGTAAGGGTATTACGGTATTCCAATTAAGTAGGCAAGTTGAAACCAATTACAAGAGAGGTTGGTGCAATTTTTTCACTAAGATGCTTTACAAAAGTGCAAAAATTAATTTATTATTATAAAGTCATCAATAATTGTACAATATTATAAAATTAAAAAAAAAACTTAGTTGCACTTGGGCTTTTGGGGTAGTGACGTCAAATCATGCATAAATGCATTTTCTTGTTTTCAGGAGAACGGTTCAAATTCTACCATTTACAAATTTGTTCAAAAAAAAAAAAAACTTAGTCAAAGATTTAATAATGACCTAATGGAAGACCATACATAAAAAAAGAAAGAGCCGTGGATATCACCCTTAGAATAGTGGGAACGAGGGAATAGCTCGGAGCCTTCAATGCCTCGCTTCTTCTGCCTTTCGACGTTGTTTTTTAGTAAAGTTTATCTTTCTCAACCTTGGTTCCTATCGAATATCTCCCTCTTCCTCTTTTTTTTTTTCCACTTTTTTCTATATTTTCTGCTTCGGAGTTAAATTTTTAAAAAATATTAATTTTTTTTATCAAATTAATACTTATTAATTTAAAATTTTTAATTTAAAATTAAAATTAAAAGTTTAAAATTTTATTTTACAGAACAGCAAACCATCTATTGTTCTAATAAAAATATTTTAAAAAAATTTCTTGGAGCCTTATACACAACAAAAGAAAAGAGGAATATCAATTAAAAATAAAGTGTTAAAAATCACCTCCAAAGATAAATAAGTTTAATTTCAAATAAAATTTTTAAACTTTTAAAAAATCAATAAATAATATTCAAAATCTTTACTTATGTTAAATAATATTTTAGATATGTTAAACTCTTAATTTAATTCTTTAATTATTATATGAACCTTTAAATTGATATCTAAACTTAAAAAACTTTGATTTGATCCTAAAGTATAAAAATTTAAACCCTTTTAATCGTTTTGTTAAAAATTCACAAACATTATTTAAATGAGAGAAGATTGATAGGTACAAAATTTTCACACGTCGGATTAACAACAT